CTTCTTCTCCTTCTTCTTCTTTCTTCTTCTTCCTTCTTCTTTCTTCTTTCTTCTTTCTTCTTTCTTCTTTCTTCTTCTTCTTCATCACCAGCATTTATTGAGCATAGGCATCATACACCATTCCACAAAAAGCAAAACAAAACAAAACAACAATTTGTAAGATCAAATGGTCCCTGACACTCAGCAATCCTAGACCAGACCAGTCCAGTCAGGGTATAAGAGAGACATGTAATGACACCTCAGTTCTGTTTCAGTTGAGGTGCTGATTGGACATCATCTAGTTTGAGATGCTTGTTTTAGAAATAAACCAAACTTTCAGTTCAAAAGAGAGAAAAAGAGAAAGGAAGGAGGAAGAGCAGGAGGAGGAATGGGTTATTTGAAGAAGGATGATTTACTTAAGAAATGCTTGTTTAATTCCTACTATGTTACAGGTTCCACTTCAAGTGTTTTATAAACATTAATTCGTTGAATTCTTGTAGCAGCTTCTGTGATAGTTACTACTGTTATCATCCTCATTTTATAGGAAACCAAGTTGCATATAATTTAAGTAAACTTGCTCGAGGTCACACAGGCAGTAAGTAGCAGAATTAAAATTTGAACCCAGATCCCAGATTCAGATTATATGCTCTTAATACTACCTGAGATGCTAGGTAAGTTCCCTGAAGGAACATCATAAAGATGAAAAAAATTGGTTATTGAGAAACTGGAGTTGCAATCCTGTCTATGAATCTTAAATGATACAGTGAGCAACACAATCCTGATTCATGTTGCTTTCATCAAAGGAATTGAGGTTATTTCATCCATTTCAAAAATTTTGAATAAAAGATGCTGCACACATTTATTTCTGAGAACGGATACAATATACTATCATCAAACTCATTTTTGCTGAATAATCTATTCCTGAATAGAATGAATCAATAACCTGGACTTATTTCCAATTTATGAGATGAATATTTAAACACCGCTATGTATTTCTGCTCATATCATTTTCAAGGATATTGGTTTCATCTAACTCAAATATTCTTTCCAGAAATATAGGGATTGTAGACCCATCTTTACCAGCTTGTGTTATAAACAGTACCTCTATGAGTAGTGTCCCAAAGAACAAGCACCACACAGGTTAGCAGAAACTCTAATTCCTCTTCTCCTCCTCTCTCCCTTCCCATGTTTGCATCTACAAATGGTCCAAGCATCTCCCTCAGTGCAGGGGAGGATATGTTTTCTTTTCAAGTCCAAAAGTCTGCAACTGCTGGAAAATGCTATTTCTTCCTTTCTTGGGTTGAAGTTGGCAAACTCTGCATATACTACCCAAACCTCTGTTTGTTTCCAGAAAGCACCCTCTGCAGCTGCTGCCCTACAATCCAGAGGCTTAGTGTTGCAACTGAAAACCAGAGCCCAAAGAGATTCCTCCTTCACCAGGATTTAGAGCCCAGAGGAATAGCTTCCTAAATCCTAGCAGTCAGGAAAGATGTGACCTCCCTGACCTCTTTACCTGCTTTCTTTACCTCACTCCTCATCAAAAGCCAGAGGGCTTTGCCTACAGAACATCCAGTAGGGGTGCCACTTAACTAAGCTCAAGTTAAATAATCTCAAGTGTCACCTTCAGTTTAAGCTGATGAACCTAAAAGCACCCACAATATAAATATATAAAGTCATTGCTTACTAAAAAAAATCTTGTATATGATGATTCGTTTCAAGACTAGGATCTGCAAACCTCCTTCTTTCCTGCATTTCTTCTTTCTTTCCTTTCTACTTTCCAGTTATCCTGCCTTTATTACATTATCCTTTTTGGCCTGTCATGTGCCAGGCACCAATGTGTGTCCTGGACATGCAAAGAGGAAAAAGACACAGGCCAGGCCCAACAAAGCTTAAGTCTGAGAGCCAGACCTGAAAGCAGATTCCCCTGAGAAGCCCCGAGTCTGGTCATCTAGTGAGATGGGGGAGAGGATGATCTCACCCCATACAGTGCAATCTGCTCTATCTTTGCACAAGGGAAGGTACTGCCTGTGTTCCGTCCAGGGATGAAATTAAAGGTTCTGGTACCTGAACTTCTACTGCGTTTACAATCAGTGCAGCACTTACTCAACTCTCCTGATCTGGCTTCTTGTTTTTCCTGTTTTCCTCCCAAGAAGATCACTTTTTGAAGGAAGAAACAAATCTACATTTTTTAACTCAATAGCTCTATGATCTTAATTTCTCTCTTCATTTCTTTGTTTTATAAAAGAAAAAAGAAAGAAAAGGAAGGATGAAAATACCTGCCCTCTTTACCTGGCAGAAATGTTACAGGATGAAATGAAGTTAGAATGCAGGCATAAAGGGGACAAAATGTTATGTAAATGTGAGGATTTTTGTATATGTTTAATGTGAAATTTAAAGCTGAGCGATGTTATCTCCCCATCTCTACCTCCATAGGTGCCCACATACATGTTCCCTGTGTTCCAACCATAACCATATAATTCTGCCTGGAAGTGCCCTCAACCATCTGCCTTCTTGCCTTTGCTTACAGTCTTTCTACTGCCTGAAGTACTCTCTTCCCATCACTGTCTGTTGACTTGCTTCCTTGCTCAAATGCCATCTCCTCTCATCTAAAATAGTGACTCTTGCCTCATTTGCACCATTAGATGTTATTTATCTAATCACACTTAGCACCATGACTAGAGCTCATTGTCCTCTACATCTTAGGCCTCTGTGCCTGGATATGCCTTGTATATGTTCAATAAAATGTTTTTTGACTCAAATTCTTCTCTTCTCTATGCTCATTCCTGTCTGCCCCCCCCCCCCGACACCTTGCACCTAATGTCCCACCATGACCCTACTGGGTACCCACCCCATACATCCTGGGAGTTTTAGGGGCAGCAAATTCAACAGACACGTCTTCATAAGACAAGGGAAGTTAAGCTTTTCCCTTAAGTTAAATCAGACATCACAGGGAAGTATATGAAGTTTGTCTGTACCCTTACTGGGTGGGGATCAGAGCCCAGGAAATGAATGTCTCCCGAAATGCAGACTGAGAACCAATGTGGGTACCCAGGTGATTGTAGGTGACACACAGGTTAACTTTTTATCAAATGTAATAGTTACATAATCTCATATGTATTAAAAAGAAAGAAAATTAGCACATCAAATCTATGGCTTCATAAATATTCTTTAATAAAAGCTCTTGCATTCAAATACAAATGAACTGATTTAAAGGAAAACGTTTCATAAATAATGGAAATTACATTACATAGTGATATGGCCAAATGATGTGATGATGATGCTTCAAGGTCAGGAACATAAGACAGAGAAAATTTTTTCTGGAGTGCAGAGGTGGAGATGGGGATGAAGAGCTACCTTTCTATGGATCAGATCTATTGGTGGCCTCAGCAATTAACAGAATTATTCACAGAGCTGTGTTACTATGCAGAACTCTTTGTTTGAAAAGCAGAATGCAAATAGAATGTTTTTTCATCACTCTTGTTCCTTCTTTGGAATGAGGAAATATGCTACTGAATGTCAACTCACACATCAAGCTTTGCAGCATTGGGCACCAAGTGTCAAAATGGCCATGGGGTTATACACCCATTCTCAGGACTGTCAGATACAAAGGGTCTAAATATGGGTTTGCTCTTCCATTTTTGTCTGCAAAACACAACACTTTACAAAAAGAAAACACTTCAAAGGCAATCCTTTTCTCGCATACATTTCAAGGGCTCCATTTGAGATCCACATTCATCTTCCTTATCCAATTAATGATCAAAGTGGAAGTGTTTGGCCTACTTTAGGGGTTTAAAGACATCCAGGGAAAAACTAAGAACATTTAAAACTACCTTTTTAAAGCCACATATCTTTCTGTAAAAGAGCTGGAATCCATTCCCCCACCCCCTTAACTGGTCTCTAGATACCAAAAGTCAAATCAGGTAGTTAACATGCTCTAATCATCCAAACCATAAAAGATTCAGTTACATCTCTGTAAAATCCAATCTAATCTCAAGTCAGTGTGTCTAGTATACTTCTTGCTTTCTGTACTGCTACAAAGTTCTTCCAGAATTTATTACAAAACTCTTGATTTTCCTGATTGGTTTTAAAGACCTCATATTTAAAATAAAAACTATTAAAAAAAAAAAAAACAACTGAAAAGTTACTTCATTTATCTCCCCAAAGCTACTGGTTCCAGCACATCTGTTCATTTTAATGCTACAATACGGAGTTCGTATTTCCTAAAATAGGATGTACCTTGTCCTTCATATGAATATTCTGGGATTTGAGGGCCTGGTTAAAAAAATAGCAAATGTGGTGTCCTCAAAAATATTTAAGTGAACAGACTGCCTATTGGTGGATTGCTTTTTCTCTATGGAAATAAATCTGTTGGCAGCCACCAGAATTGGGGTATAAAAGATAACCTCGGGCAGCTGCTGCCATTTGTTTCGGTGGGAAAATAAGGGTTTTGTCTTTCCCCAGGGGTTAATACTGTGATGCTCTAAGCATCGTCTGGGCTCTGTTTCTGAAGGGTTACACTGGAGAGGAGGAATGCTTTGTGGTTTATGACAAGATCACAGCAGAATATTTTGTGCACGCTGTGATTTGTATTGCCCATTTGTGCACAGGCCATAAAAGTGCACTTTTTATCAGGAGCATTTGTGAATATATAACAGCACTGAAGACATATGGCCACTAAATAATTCACAGTTATCTATCTCCTCAGCAGATTCCTTATACACCTACCATGTTTTAATGCCTAGTTTGCTCAGAAACAATATTCTTTATGACCCTTCCAATATAAAAATGTTTACTGACTGGCAACAATATATGGATACCATGGGATTGGGCTGTAAGGAAAGGGAAAGCTCTCTACTTTCTCTATTTCTCCCTGTCCTCATCTGTTTCTCCTGAACTCTTCCAACCAGCAGATAACCTCATAGAAGGTACCCTCCTCAAATGTGGGTGCTAACTTCTGACATCTGGTATTTGGGCCGTAAGAGAGAAGTCACTAATTAATCTTCACCATCTTTTCTTTTCAGTTCTATATCCATTTACAGTCCCAAGGAGAATCCAAATGCATTTGATGCTGCAGCATTCTTCCAGTCCGTGGGGAATTTCCTGGGGATCTTCGCCGGCTCGTTTGCAATGGGGTCTGCATATGCTGTTGTCACCGCACTGATATCCTTTGTGCATGTGTGTGGAAAGCTGGGGACTATTAAGAGCTGTCAGTGTCCCTGGAATGTTTCTGAGGATGGACAACCTCCAGGCCAAGCAAGAAATGGCTAAACAGTCTGATTCAAATGTGATCCAATGCCACTGGAGCCATCTTAGTTCTGAGTCATCTTTGAGGCATAAGTTTGGTAGCAGCAGAGGGGCCCAGGATCTTTCTTGTCCAAAGCCTTTCTAGCACTACTGCTACTGTCTGACCCTAAGATAGCAATAATCTTAAAAATTGCCATGTAGGGAAATAGATGGGCATGGGGCCTCAGGATTGGATGTATTAGGGTCAAGAGGGAAACTGAAGATGATCTGAGGTCAAGAACAAGACAAGATTGACTGGGAGTGATTTACTAGGTATTCTCTTCTTCCTTTTCAAACTTCTTTCAATCACTAGCTCATAGGACTGGCTGAGCCAAAGATCACTGTGGGTTTAAGCAAACATCCTTAGTGATTTTACTGAAGGGGACCTACAAGCAGGGCAGAAATGACATGTTTGCCATATCTGGGCAATTGTGTCATCCCATTCCCTCTTTTGTAGTAGTGGGGTGGAAGAATGGTAGAGTTCCTAGAGGATTTGAGCCAGGGAATGAGGCTGGTCTAGTGAGTTGTCTAGTGAACAGTCAGATGGGGAGAAATAGGGCAGAGTTGAGGAAGCAGGCCAGAAATCCAATGTCAAGTGTGAGGGCTTAACAGAGGCCGTAAAAAGAGGCACAACAAAGGATCAAGGACAAAAGACCTTGGGGAAAAGAGAAGGTGCAAGATGTGTCAGGGCTCTACTAAAGAAAGCAAAATGTTGGATATTTTTTCATGGGGACTGACCCAGTGAACCCTACTCACTGAGCAGCTGCTAAAACACTAGGTTCTACTACGGGTTTCTTTTTAAATATATATAATATATATTGTATATAATATATAAATATAATTATAATAATATATAAATATATAAATAATATATAAATATATAAATATATTTATATTTATATATATATATATATATATATATATATAGATTGATTCATGAGTGACACAGAGAGAAAGGGAGGCAGAGACACAGGCAGAGGGAGAAGCAGGCTCCACACAGGGAGCCCATGTAGGACTCGATCCCGGGACTCCAGGATCACGCCCTGGGCTGAAGGCAGGCGCTAAATTGCTGAGCCACCCAGGCGTCCCTACTAAGCATTTCTAATATGAGTCAGAAGATAAATAAAATATGGCCTTCAATTAGTAACAACCTTGGAAAGACAAGCTCTACAATAAGAGTTGTGTAGAAGATTGGTGCTAAACCCATAGCCACCTTATTAGGACTCTAAACATTCAAATGTGGATGAGTCCACTGTTTCTGAAATAGTCCAATAGACTCTTGACTAGTCTTATTATTCTGAAAAATAATTTAAAAAGCAATATTTACATACAGAGAGAGATGTAGGCTTGGCCTGAAATATAGATAGGATATAGACAAAAGCTATGTGATAAGCAGTTCAGGAGAAAACCAGCATTCATTGAAGTGTGGGGATAGGGCTGGCATGAGAGATGGACGATGTGCCTGAGAGGACCAGAGGGCTCGGAATGGTGAGCAGTGGAAGATGGGGAGACACAGGTGGGTTGGACTCACCTTGTGGAGTCTCTTGGAGTATTATTCAAAGGAGTCTGAGTTTCCTTCTGTAGTCTACGATTAGCTACTGAAGGTTTCTGCTCAGGAGAGTGACATACTGAAAGCCCAGTTTTTAAACAATAAATGAGGAACTAGTTCATAGGATGAGTCAGAAAAGGATTAGAATCAAGAGAAACTGTGATGGTGAGCTGTGGAAGAAACATCAAAGAGACTAATGTTTAGAAGAATCTCTAGGACTCAATGATTAGAAGAAGGGAGACTCAAAGGCCACTCCAAAATTTTGGCCTAGAAACCCTAAAGAGTGTCAACTCCTTTGACAAAGAGATAATGTAACTCAGAAAAGCTAAGGCTGATCTCTAATAAAAATAACATTAATAATCTAATGATTAATATCAGTACTTACGATACCTAAGGCCTCTTACTACTTGTTTTATACGCTATACCTCACTGACCCTCACAATGACCATGTCACATAGATACTATTTTTATCGGACCCTGAAGCTTAGAAAGGATAAGGTATTACCCAGTGACATACAGCTGTAAATTAGAGCCAAAATTCAAACCCGGAGATTGAAACCAAGAAACAGACCATGCATTTGATCACTGATCCCTATTGCCTCTTGATTATTAAGTGGAATTATGATGGAGCCCACATATCGTTTTGCATAAGTAATGGTAATGATGATAGCAACATTTCATGAACGTCTAACATGTGTTAGAGGCCTTTGTATATATCTCTTCATTTGAATCAACCCTGTAACATAGGCCATTATTATTCTCATGCTACACATGAGGAAACTGAGGCTCAAGGAGGTTTAGTTGCTACTCTGGGTCACATATCAGTAAGAGTGAACACAATTATTATTACTGTAATGTTTGTAGAGAACTTTACCATTTGCCAGCCATTGTCATTAGCATTTTGCTGATGGATTTTCTCATATAGCTTTTGTAAAAACACTGAGAGGGAGATACTGTTATTATCTCAATTTTACAGCTAAAGAAACTGACACGTAAAGGTTAAACAACTTGTCTAAAGCCATACAGCTGAGACATCTCAGGGCTGGGATTTAAACCCAGGGTGGATTTAAACTCCAGAGCCTACACTGGGTGGAAAAGCTGAAATTGGAACTCTCTTATGCTCAATATGAAGGGACTGTATGGAAACAAGTAAACAAGTTGGTAAGGAAAGGGGAAAAAATTCCTGGAGATTAGAAGTCTGTCATGAGATTGGAACAAATCTGGAAAAAATGCTGCAGAAATGGAAAAGACAGGGGTTCAGTCTCAGGAGGAAGAGCTGTCATGTAGCACCTGCTGGCCTTGCCTCTCACAAACTCAGGCTGCAAAGGAGACGGGTGCACAGTCGTTCCCTCCACCACACTGAGCCTTGACACCTTGTCCATGATGAGGTGGTGCTCCTCCGGGTATAGGCCTGTGGGCTCTATGCAAGCTTGGATCTTGACCCAGAACTAACCTACTTTCTGGAAAAGGTTGAAAGAGAAGAATGTCGTATGTCCACTTGAGTGACCTCAGCCTTCTCCACAACGAAGTAGAAGAGGGAATTCAGAAGAACAAACCCCACTAAAAACAAAGCCTGCCCTCCCAGTAATAAGAAGGAATGCTGAAAAGGGGCAAAGGGCAACCTGTGTTTTCTTCCAGATAAATAATTGCTTCCAGATCCTTACTGACTCTATTTCCAGAAAAGATGGTCTATGAAACACATTCATTTAAATCACAAAAAGAGAAAAAACGTGCATATTCCTTGTTGCATGCCCAGCACTCTTGTGAGTGCTTAACATGTCATAGCTGGTTCATATAACTAGGAGGTAGGTTGTGCGATTTATCCCCATTTTCAGGCAGGGAAACCAAGGCACAAAGTGGTCGAGGGACACACTGAAGCTGATACAGTGAGGTGGAATTTGTCTTCCAGAGGCTACACTCCCAATCATGAAATCACTCTGCCTCTTCTTGACATTTTGTGCTTTCTAAAATTTTGCAAGACATTTTAAATATACCTCATCTAATTTTATTCTCCACACTTGGGTGAGTAGGTATTATGCTCATTGACAATTCACACAGGATAGAAATGAGGCTCCGAGAGGTTAATACATTGCTCAGAAATCACACAGCCAGTGACCAGCAGAGTCAAGACTCCAATCTTGGTCTTCCACCCCAGGGGTCATGCTTTTTTCCTTCCCTGCCCCTCTGCTAACCATCTCTTAATGTGGAATCTCTTTGGATGTTTGTCTTGAAGCATAAAAATGCAACACGACATCTCATTTGTCAGGGCATTTTTTTTCCCTAGCTGTGGGCACAGTTGCAATGTAACCCTTTTCTATGGATCACATATTCCTAATCATCTTGCCATAACCCATTCTCTGCATGATTTGGATCAGACCACTCTTCTCTTGCTCTATGTGCAATTTATAGGCTATTGACCAAGTGCCATCCCAGCCAAAATGAACCATTACCTCCCGAAGGGCTTCTTGCCTGACCTAGAAATAACATACCTGTCCTCTATCCTACTTATACTAAGATGGCCCCAGTAGTTTCCCTATCACTGAACATAAATGTCCCTCCTGATCCTGTTTCCATCCTCAAGAGAGGAGTCTTTTCAGGTGATCTGTCCACAGACTCTCACTCCCCAGGGAGCAGTGGCCTCCTTTGGTGCTGACGCACTTGCAGCAAGTCACTGAGCCTCTGCTCTCCGTCCATGGCTCTGTTTTCCTGATGTGCTGCAGTCCCGGAGGGGACACGCCCCAAGGGCCAGGGCCAAATTCAAGAGGCTTCGTACCCACAGTGAGCCGATGCTATCTTCTTACTTAGCAAGACACCTTTCTGTAACCTGAATACAGGTTTGCATTTTTAGTGGAGTGTTCAGCCCCCAAACGAAGCCTGGAACTCAAGCTGGCCTTCAGCGCAGTCCCAATGAGAGTTACAGTCTGAAAATCGGTTCCCTTACCCTAAAACCATCTCAACCAGATTTAGTTTTCCTCAGCCACGGAGGAGAGGTAGCTGTAAAAGCATTTGTTGTTTCCCTTAACGTGTCTTTCTTTGTCACTTGACCAAATTTACCAAACTGTGTGAGTTCCCCATGCTGGAAACAGGCCTGTTTTTCCTCCTGTCGTGGAGCGCCTTCCTGTCTGCTGAGGCCGCCGGCCTGACAGGTCAGTGCTGCCTCCTGCACAGGGGGCTGGATGTGTGAGGCGTGTGTGTGCTCCCAGAGGTACCCCTCCCTGAGCAGCAGGAGGTGAAACGGACTCTCTCTTCTACGGGGTTGTGTCTGAATTAGCCTTTCCTGGGTACCCTGAGGAGAAAAACACAGTCATTCATCCATTCTGTATGCAACAACTTAACGGGAAAGTCTCCAGAATGACATTTCCTCTTCTCTCCTGGCTGGGCGGGAGGGGATGTTAAAACCTACAAATGACTGATTTATAGAGGTGATGGATGACTTTATAAATGGAAGTCTACTCAGCTGCTTTGCAGAAAAGGGTGCTGGTTTGCTGTTGGCTGCTGACGGCGAGTACCCGTGTAAGCAGCCTCTCTGGGGTGTGCACATTTCCACACACATCAGTGTGGAGAATCCTTGTATGCAAAGAAACAAAGAGCTAATGTGGCGGGGCTACAGTGTAGTACCTCTTACCACAAGAAGTCTACATATAGAATCTCTGACGTGGATCAGTTAATAGAGAAAGGGGCAGCCCCTGAGGTCCCAAGGGATCCTGTGATCTGGATTCGGCAATTAGATTGCCTTTCTGCAACAGTGAGGATTTGCGCTTGGATAGCTGCAACGATTGGGTGCTTTTCCACCTAGAAGAATCACTGTGGCTCTGAGCAAAATGTCAAAGCTGCTTCTGTCCTTTGGCCTAGTTCCCTGCTCCTTCCAGGTTTCAATCCTGGATCCCTTGCTGCTCACTACTGTCATCTTAATTGACATTCAAGCGGTGAGACTGGCCTCCTCCGCCCCTCAATTATTAACTGGGAACAAAATATTCCTCTCTGGGTATTTACATTTTATTAGGTGGTACTTTAAGTATAATTAATAATAATAGAAGTTGACGTATATTGACGGAGTACCGTGAGCCAAGTACTAGCTTCCCGCCTTTCATGGACATTCTTATTAATTCCCAGACCTAAGACTCAAAATTAGGGCCTACACTCCTTACTGGATCAACAGTAAGTAGTGGAGCTGGGATTTCAAAGTAGGAGATCTGATTCCAGAGCTAGACTCTTGAGGAGCAAGCGTTGCTGCCTTGAATGAAACTACATTTGTGGACTATCAAGCAAGCCCTCATGAGGAGGAAGATATTTGGGGTCTCAGGAGCCTGTCTGGTCCACATGCCCATAGACTGGTTTGGCTCTCCTGTGAAAGGCATGGCAAATCTTTCTTGTAATGATAACCTGTCCTTCTGGGCAGCTGACCCAACTTACTGCAGGGTCACAGGGGCCACCCTGTTCCCACAGGCTTTGAAGGCGTCTGTTGCTGATGCAGAAAGCCATCTGCCAGTTCTTAGGAGACTTATGAAGGCTACATTGTCAGAGTCCACCCTATGGGCCCTTGTATCTAAATCAACGTCTGTTATGGTAGTGTCTTCTCTTGTTATTAGGGAGGTTGCTGAAGAGCTTATTCATTCCAGAGAAAAGGAACAACAGTGTCCCTTAAATTAAAAAATAAAGGTATAAAATTTATATCAGCCATTCAAAATAATTTTGGTTCCCTTTCCTCCATATTCCATGCCCTTTTCAGCCCTCAACGTTTTGTAAAATGATATAAGTAATGTTAACAGAACACATATTTGACCTTCTAAAAAAGTAAAAAAAAAGTATCTTAACTGACCTGATATTTTTTAGTCTATGTTGAATATTGTAATAAACACACACACACACACACACACACACACACATGCACACACACACCCCAATACCTCAAAGCTGCTTATTTTTATGTGTGAAAATTGCCTTTTTATTTCCTGGTACATTTCAGCAAGATCTTGTTTTATTAACTATTTAAAGGTTACAGTCCATGTATAAACAGCTAGTTTACCTGTACCTTGCTCTTTTGCCACCCCTTTCAACCTGATATTCCTATTGGATGGCACACAGACTACCCCTAGAGAGCCAGCATCATGGGATAAGTGAATACAGGTGTGGGCCGCAGTAACAGACCCAAAAGTCCATGGCTGCACCCAAGGGGCACACTCGCTCCAGAGCACTACTCCAGAGTAAGCAATGTGTCTAATAGGCATTTGATACGAACCAAACTCTAGGTGCAAGCATTTTCTACTGTCATATACCAAGCCTGCTTAGTCTAAATTACTTATGTATTTGTTTGTTTATTATCTAATCCTTGCTTCTTTCCAAATTGGATTTGAGACAACTCATAACATGAGGCATGCATATCATGGGACCATTTAGTTGAGAGTAAATACTCAAGTGCTTTGGGATAGAGTTTTTCTGCAAAATTAGACAGCTGTTTGTTGCTGTGGTTTGGCAATAAATATAGCTCTGAGCTTTCTGGCAGCCAAAGCCAAAAGGGAAACATGATGAGTTATATAGGAATAATAGAGCATTATAAAACGAAATCATACTTATTGACAAAAATGGGCAAACTTCTTTTCTGGCACTAAAATTTTAGGGGAATTTATCACATGTATCCTCATATAAGGGACCTTTGAATGCTGTAGTGGACAATATATTTAATAATGCTTTTAAGGGGAACACCTGGGTGGCTCACGGTGTGATCCCAGGGCTCGCAGATGGAGTCCCACATCAGGCTCCCCACAGGAGCCTGCTTCTCCCTCTGCCTATGTCTCTGCTTCTCTCTCTGTCTCTCATGAGTAAATAAAATCTTAAAAAAAAAATACCTTTAAGGAGGATGGAGATACACTCTTCACGAAGTCATTTCTCATTTCAGTCTTCAGTGAAATCTGAGGGAGTGGTATCAAATCATAATTACCTAAGGGTGTGTCTGGTAATGATATAATCTTTTTAGTTCTAACCCACCCACAACTAAACAAAGGTATTGGAAGGCTAAAATCTAGAAAACATTTTAAAAAGTCCTTAACAAATGAAATTATGGCAATGACTATAAAGAACTAAGTGTAATAAACTATTAAGCCATTTATGAGTAGTTATGGAGGGAAGCAGCATCATGGAGCCTGTCTGGGTTCATGAAGCACATCATGTAGGTCCGAGGGATGGGATGGGGCGACATGCATTGGTTTCTCAGCAGAATTCCCTGAGCCCTGACATTTCAAAATGGTGCTCAAGGATGCCCACCAAGTGAGCAGGGCTCTCAGCTTGCCACCCCTACACTATCCCTTTTATTGATTCCAAGAATTGGGTTTTCACATAAGATTTTATTTTTAAAAAAGGATTTCTATTGTTTTAAACAAAGTCCATCTGTTTTGAGAAACATATTTTTGTTTTTTCTTACGACCAAGTAATGTGTAAACATCATAGACAATTTAGGAAGTGTAAATTCACAGAAGGAAATCGAATTGGAATCACCTGTTTTCTTATTACCTATTAATTGCTATTGTTAATATTTGTCTAAATACATCTAATTATATGCATATCCGTACACTTCACTAAATATGTACATGCAGATATGAATGTAATCATACTTCTTAAATTTTAAGTAACTTGCTTCTTTTCACTCAAGGATTTATAATGACTTTTTCACATTTTTCATCTGTATTATTTAATGGCTGCCTAATATGATATCATATCAACTTGCCACAATTTACTCAATGCTCCTTTTGATTGTTTATAGTTTTTGGTATTATTAATATGATTGCAATGGTTATCCTTATAGATTGATGTATGCATTTCTATTGCCGGATTAATAGAAAGGCTAACATTTTAATGTCTTGGAAAATTCACCCAAATTATTCCCCAGAAAATTTGTGACCCTTTATACTTCCACAAATAATGAAAGAGAGCTCATTTACTCACATTTTTACTACCCTAAATCTTACCCATCCCTGCTAATTTGAAATCAATTTCTATTTCATTGTGATTTACGTTTATTTTAAAAACGATTTTATTTATTTATTCATGAGAGAGACAGAGAGAGAGCCAGAGACTTAGGCAGAGGAAGAAGCAGGCTGCCTGTAGGGAGCCCGATGCGGGACTCAATCCCAGGACCCTGGGATCATGACCTGAGCCAAAAACAGATGCTCAACCACTGAGCCACCCAGGTGCCCCTGTGATTTACATTTATTATATTTGTTCTGAGGAAAGCATTTTAGTGACATGTCATTGGCAATTTCTATTTCTCTTTTGCTGAACTCCCTGTTTCTGTCCTACTCCTTTTCCCTACTGAGATGCTTGTTTGTCATATTAATTTTAGGAGCTTTTTTATTTATTTAGAAAATTAACCTTTTGGCTGCCATGTAAGCTATAAATATTTTCCAATTTGTGGTTTTATCTCTTAAATATATTACATTTTGTTGGCTTAGTAAGGGAAAGGGATAGTATGGACATTTTCAAGTTTATGTGGTTAATTTTATCTCCTTAGAAAGCTCAAGGCTTTATTAATTTTTGCATAGAAAGCCTAAGTGTTTATTAATGATAATGCATACTTTCTTTTACTAGTCTTGTTTTATGAATCCAACTGGAATTTGTTTTGATATGTAGTACAGGAGATAGCAGGAACTTGATTATCTTCCTAGAAGATATGTTCCATTTGTCCTAACACCCTTCAACTATAACCTATGTATTTATAATATAATGTCCATGTCTATAGGTACATAAATGTATATATATGTTCTGGGTTTTCTATTGTACCACTTTGGTCTTCACTGTTTTAATCATTTCAGCTTCATTGTTCATCTTAATATCCATTGGATCAATGCCTCACCCTTCCTTGCTCATTTTCAAGAGCTTCTTTGCTGTACTCACATATTTATTATTCCAGATGGACTTGAAAATAACTTTGTTAGGTTTCAAGCAGAAAATGACTGAGATATGATTGCAGTTGCATTAAATTTTTAGATTAATTTGAGAAGTGGTGTTTTTACAATGTTGAGTCTTCCCACCCAGGAATATGTTATGTCTATCCATTTATTCAAGTCATCTTTTATGGCCCTTAGTAAATTTTTATAGTTGTCTTCACATTCAACCTACAAATTTCATGTTAAGTACTTTTTAACTATTTTAT